CCTCCCGCCTCCCGCCTCACCGCCTCCTCTGGGCTGCTCCCCGGATCCGTCCATCACCGCCACTGCCGCCACCGCCTCTCGCCGGGTCCGCCCGGGCGGCTGCAGCGCGCCCCGGTCACGTGACGACCCGCTGAACGTGCGCCCCACACGTGGGCGCCCCGCAAAATGGCCGCTGCCCAGTAGAGCGGGGGTCACGTGACCGCGTCAGCCGGCCGGCCCTCGGGAGGGGGTGTGGCCGCTGTCACTGCACTGTCCAATCAACGCCTTCCATAGGAAAGCTGGGCGTTACCCATGCCAGGCTCCGCCCATCGACTCCCACCCTTTACTGTCAATTGCCCCTATATATGGACTCAAGCTTTCACTGACGCGGTCAGTCCTTAATTAACTCATGCATGCATTTGTGCACAATCTGTACAAGCATGTGCCACGGCTGGGACACTCAGCATCCAGCCAAGACAATCACAAGAAACCTCTGAGTGGTTCTATGTGTTAGCAGCAAAATGAACAGAAAATGTAGTGCAAAAGGTGTAGAACTAGCTCAGGAGTGGTGGTTCACTCCTGCAATCCCAGTATCAAGAGGTCTGTGAATTCCAGACTAACGTGGGCTATATAGTGAGTTTTCATCCAGCATGGACGACCCAACAAGCCCTTGCCTCAAAAAGAAAACTGAAGGTTGTGGGGGAAGGTGGGTACCTATGGCTAGCTACTCAATAAGCTTACCTACTCAAGAGGCTGAGAAATGAGGATTGCAGTGTAACGCCAGCCTGGGGAAGGAAAGTCTTAAACTATGGTGGTTTGTATGTACATATGTATAATATTCATTCAACAGTACACATAAAATGGGAAGTTTACTGAAATTACTCTGAGTGTGTGTGTGTGTGTACTGTTTATGTGATGTTCTGTGCTTTTGTTGGAAAACAATGGAGGTATCACGTGATTTCCAACCTTAGGGCAACAAGGATATGTTTTTTTTTCCCAGTCTTGGGGCTTGAACTAAGGGCCTGGGGGTTGTCTCTGAGCCTCTCAAGGCCAGCACCCTACCACCTGAGCCACAGTGCCACTTCTCACTTTTTCTGAATAGTTTATTGGAGATAAGAGTCTCATGATGGAGCTGGGAAGGAGGCTCAGTGGTAGAGTGCTTGCCTCGCATGCATGAGGCCCTGGGTTCGATTCCTCAGCACCACATAAGCAGAAAAAGCCGGAAGTGGCCCTGTGGCTCAAGTGGTCGAGTGCTAACTTTGAGCTGAAGAGCTGAGGGACACCACCCAGGCCCAGACTTTAGGCTCTGCAACCAAAAAATAGTCTCATGGAGTATCCTGCGTGGGCTGGATTCCAATCACGATCCTCAGATCTCAGCCTCCTGAGTAGCAAGGATGACAGGCATGAGCCACTAGCGCCTGGCTGAAATGTTTCATTTTTTTTTTTTTTTTGGTCAGGTCCTGGGGCCTGAACTCTGGGCCTGGGCGCTTTCCCTCAGCTCTTCAGCTCAAGGCTAGCACTCTACCACTTGAGCCACAGCACCACTTCCGGCTCTTTTCTTTTTGCTTATGTGGTACTGAGGAGTTGAACTCAGGGCCTCAGGCATGCAAGGCAAGCACTCTACCACTGAGCCACCTTCCCAGCCCGAAATATTTCATTTCTATGGATAGAATTTCCAACAGTTTATGATTTGAGAGAAGAAGGTTTCTCAGTGAAGAAAGCAAGCCAAGGAAAGAAATTGTGTTTCCGGTTTGGCTTTTGCTGGCTTGCTTGCTTGCTTTTGTCAGTACTGATGTTAAAATCAAGCCTTAGATCAGCATACAGGGCTCTAATGTGTACCAGGGTCTCACTTCCTACCTGTGTTGAGGGCCTGGACACTGATCCACTTATTTTAGGCTTCCTATTGTAGCAACTGCACACAACTGCACACAACTACAGGTTGAGAAGGGGTCTATTTTGTGTGTGTATGTCAGTAAATGGCTTGAACTCAAGGCTTTGCAGTCCTTTGTCTCCTGCAGGTGTCTGCAGGAGGGTTGTTGTCCTCACCCCTTTCTTTTCTTCCAACATCATTTGAAACAAAGTAAGCTCCTCCCCAAACACCACCAACATAGACAATCTCTACAGAAACCATGTTTTTATTTATGGAGGGCACATCTCAGTATTTGTCTTGGGGGAAAGTGATTCCAATGGCCTTTCTCACCTCTTCAAGGATGTCAGCCAGCAGCTCACTTTCTGCTAGAGGAATCACAGGACTTTCCTTCAGACCTGGAGGGAGGAAAGAGAGAGCGAGAAGATTAAGAAGAAAAAAACAGAAGCCAGCGCTGGTGGCTCATGCCCGTAATCCTAGCTACTCAGGAGGCTGAGATCTGAGGATCGCAGTTCAAAGCCAGCCCAAGCAGGAAAGTCTGTGAAATTCTTATCTCCAATAAACCACTCAGAAAACCAGAAGTGGTACTGTGGTTCAAGCGGTAGAGCGCTGGCCTTGAGCTGAAGAGCTGTGGGACAGCGCCCAGGCCCAGAGTTCAAGCCCCACAACCGACAAAAAAAAAAAAAGAGAGAGAGAGAGAGAGAGAAAGAGACAGAGAATGGGAGGGGAGAGAGAGCTATTAGGGAATGCTCCTAACCATACATTGAGACCAAAAGAACTGTGGGAATCTGGATTCCCAGAGTCCCATGGCATAGGCATACACCAGGGTTTAGGTAGATTGTTGTCCTGTGGCATTGTGGGAGATGTAGTTCTACATAGCTAGGGGAACTGAGAGTATATAGGGGACTTGGGTGGGACCCAACGTCATCTGGCTATGCTTACTCTTCCCCCCCTCCAATGATATCCACCAGATCCTTACCCTTGCGCAGACACTCTCGGATATGTTCGGCCTCATAAGTCATGCCTGTCCCATTTATAAAGTTGTACACCTTGTTTGGGACTTCTGGCAGTGGGAACTCCTTACGCACACCATTCAACACCAGCTCTGTTGGGCACCAGCTTTTCTGAATCTGGAAGAATTAAGACATAGCTCTGCTGCCTGGTGCCAGTGGCTCATGCCTGTAATCCTAGCGACTCAAGACACTCAGATCTGAGGATCATGGTTTGAAACCTGCCCAGGCAGGAAAGTCTCACAGACTCTTTTTTTTTTTTTTTGGGGGGGGGGTCCGGTCATGAGGCCTGAACTCTGGGCCTGGGCGCTGTCCCTCAGCTCTTCAGCTCAAGGCTAGCGCTCTACCACTTGAGTCATAGCACCATTTCCGGCTTTTTTCTTTTTGCTTATGTGATGCTGAGGAATCGAACCCAGGGCCTCATGCATGCAAGGCAAGCACTCCATCACTAAGCCACCTTCCCAGCCCCCTCACAGACTCTTATCTCCAATAAGCTACCAAAAAAGCAAGAAGTGGAGCTGTGGCTCAGGTGGTAGAGCGCCAGTGTTGAATGCAAAATCTTCACCCTGGTCAGGACTGGCATGCACATGCATACACAGACACAGCAGTTTCTTCTCAGGCCTAAGGATACTTGATCTACAATACATTAATGCTCAGGCAATCCCCCCTCCCAAGTATGAACATCACAGCTGTCAAAAACAGAATCTGTGCTGGGAAATTGGCTCAGTGGTAGAGTGCTTGCCTCACATGCATGAGGTCCTGGGTTCAATTCCTCAGCACCACATAAGCAGAAAAAGCCGGGAGTGGTGCTGTGGCTCAAGTGGTAGAGCACTAGCCTTGAGATGAAGAGCTGAGGGACAGCGCCCAGGCCCAGAGTTCAGCCCCCACGACTGGACCCCCCCCCAAAAAAAAACCAAACAAACATAAGAATCTATAGCCATGGGTTGAAAA